CAGATATTAACAGCGGCCACCGTGGTCCGATATACGCGACGGGCGGGACTTCCCAGAGCCGGGGCCATTTCGACGGTGGATTTTCAGCGGGAATCGAGCTGATACGACGGTGGGCCAAAGACTGCATCGCAAGCAGCGGCCGTCACGTTCGACTCGATGGGCTCGCGTTATTAATGGGGGTAATGATACATCCAGTGGTAATCTTTGCGGGAGACATGGCGGTCTATTGACACGTTAGAACCTGGATTGTCTGGATACCTTTCGGATGAGTTAAGCACCGCGTAACGGTTATTCGAATAATGGTACTTGGCGGTAGAAGATTGCGGGTTTGGGTAGTGATGGGACTGATACAATTCGTATTGATGATGCTGAAATTTGATACCTACATAAGTGCTCAGTGGGATGTATTGAAAGGCATCGAAATCATGAATACTCGGCATGGGCGTAGCCAGGTTATCAGTCAGAGGGGGGGGGGCAAATATATTAACAGATCGACTGCTACAGTGAAAAAGGCTGTACGTAGCCGAACACACTTTATTTTGTTTTTGAAGTCATAAATCGTTGAAAATGTATACGTTTTGGTGATAGCGGCTTTTGGTTGTGTTTCAAATTATACTGCGATATTAAATATTACGTAAAAATTTAGGAACTTTGGGAAGGGAGGAGGTGGGGAAAAATCCATTTTTTTCTTGTAGCGTGGGTGAAAACTTGCAATTGGTGGCTTTCATGGTTTTTTATGTACAATAAACTGGTGTTAACAAATTGTCAAAAATACAATTTGTTTATAACAAAAAAATATCATTTTGAGAACCTTTTTGGAGGAAACTACGTGTATATCTCACAAGGGAAGGCCCGAAAGTGTCCCCCTCCGATTTTGATGAAACTTCGTATGTCTGTTAAGCAGTCAAAAATAAAGGACACGTATTTTTTTTATCGGCTGAGACGCGACCTCAAGGGGTGAAACCACCACTCAAAATTTCTATCCGAAATTTTGTTGTTATAAACAAATAATATTTTGGACAATTTGTTAGCACCATATTATTCTACATAAAAAACCGCAGACCTCGTCCATTAGAAGTTTTCATGTATCTCCTCTGGTTTTCGAGATAGTACTTCCGGGTCGAAACTTTGAGGGGTCGTTTCACCCCCTAAATATGAAAACGGGCCGCTATAAAAAAATACGTATCTCTTATTTTTCGGTCCTCTAAAACATATCCGAAAACCAAAGCAATCGGAGGCGGACACCTAAAATACACTCTTGTAAGTATTAAGTTTGAATACCGATGACTCTTGGACCGATACCAATTGATATCAATTCTGTAATAACCGAGTAGGTATCGATACCATGAACAATAGAATTGTATTTTTCAAGTACTTTATGATTACAGGAATTTCTGAGTTGTTGATATAGTATTGGTGTCAATACTTTCGTAGTAGTGTCAAGTCGTTACCCATACTTTTGTAGAAATATCAAACAGGTATCGAATGTATTGAGACTATCATATATGTGTCGAGGGGATATCGATTCTTTTTGATGCCTATTTCTTTAATACTACTCGATATCAGATCAAACTTTACGGTCAGATATCGATAGCATCGATGCGGTATCAGACCTAACAGTAAATACCGCCACGTGTGTTTGTCTAAGAGCTGATGATTCGACTCGTTAAATTTAATATAGTATCCGAAATCGTTCATGTTTACTTTTCCGATTGCCATGTCAAAAATAGTTCTTTACATAGGTGCGTCAATACCCCAGAAGAATAAATGCATTTTATTAAAATCTTTCATAGAATACTAATTACAAATTTCAAATTCTGATTAACTAATTTTTGAAAACTTAAACTGTATAAATTTCCATTTCATTCATTAAAGATATTATAATATTTGGTTATCAATAAGGTATACAGTTTATTAAAGTATATGAAAATTTTTCGTTTATTGTGTTAGTTTACATATTCCTGTACGTGATAAATGCAGAAAAATTCGCGGTTCAGTCGTCAGAAGCAAAACATAAAACATGTGAAATTACATTCTCCCCTTCCTTAAGGTATCAACCTCAGCTTCCAGATCAGAAACTTTCTTCGTCAAAATATAAACTTGCTCATTTAAACTACCAACATCGTACGGTAAAGTATCGGACGAGCCCACCTTACGATC